AAAAGCTGGGGTGGGGGGGGAGAGAAAAGCTCTACGGGGAAAGAAAAGCTCTGGGGGAAAGCAAAGCTCTATGGGGGAAAGCAAAGCTCTATGTGGGAAAGAAAACCTCTGGGGGAAAGCAAAGCTCTACGGGGGAAAGAAAACCTCTGGTGGAAAGCAAAGCTCTACGGGGGAAAGTAAACCTCTATAGGGGAAAGAAAACCTGTGGGGGAAAGCAAAGCTCTATGGGGGAAAGAAAACCTCTGTGGGGGAAAGCAAAGCTCTATGGGGAAAGAAAACCTCTGTGGGGGAAAGAAAACCTCTGTGGGGGAAAGCAAAGCTCTATGGGGGAAAGAAAACCTCTGTGGGGGGGAAGAAAACCTCTGTGGGGGAAAGCAAAGCTCTATGGGGGAAAGAAAACCTGTGGGGGAAAGCAAAGCTCTATGGGGAAAGAAAACCTCTATGGGGGAAAGAAAACCTCTATAGGGGAAAGCAAAGCTCTGTGGGGGAAAGCAAAGCTCTGTGGGGGAAAGAAAACCTCTGTGGGGGGGAAGAAAAGCTCTATTGGGGAAAGAAAACATCATTATGCAAATAAAGGCACCTTTTAGCTCCAATGTCTGACACTGATAAGTAAATCAGAATCTTGATTCCTTGTAACAAGGATCTGATCAGCTCTGTGTCACCTATGTAGCCATTAGATAATACATGATTGATACAACCAGGTTCTGGGGACTATCGAAAATATATCTAGTTTAAGATCCCTGTTAATTTTGCAACTTCGAAACCTCATGCTGTCACATTCATTTTCAAATTAAATTAACATGTATCAAATCTACATTAAACCTCTTCAATTGAAACACCATTGGTTTACCTCCTAATTGTGTCATAGATATGAGAAGTATCAATATTAGGCTTAAAAAATAAAATTGGTTACTTGACTTTTGAAAACATGGTGCGGACGGGCAGTGTTATTTTGTTTGTTTGTGTTTTGGTTGTTTTGGTTTTTTTGCTTGTTCAAACTAGAATCTTACCAAATAAACAGTTGTTTACCATCAACAAAGGGCCTCCCTACATAAACAAGCATACAAACTCCTGTAAAGCATGTAAAGGGAAGTAACTGCGTGCTTTATTGGATCACATTGCTTTTAAGTATTAGGATTTAAAAACGAAATGTGCAGCAGACTTTATGAAGATGTGGACGGTGCCTGAGAACTAAGACTAATATTTTTTTCAGCCTTAGACGACAGTGTTGGTAAGGGTTGTGTTGGGAAGTAAAGTTTACATCATCTCTAGATACTGAGGTGATGGAGAGGAAGGCATGGTCCGTGATGAAGGGAACAGTCCGTTGTGTCATAAATATACCTTTGATTATCATATATGCTTATGTTATTTTCTTCATATGCATCGTGTTGTGTTTTCAGCTGATACTGTACGTTTTATGTACACTGACCAAGTGCCTTACACGGATCCTATTGTGTTCTTCTCACTGTGTTTCAGGGGCCAATTATGTTTTATTTGATTAATCATTGATGGGTTAAGAGTTTAGTTTCATATGCAAATGATATTTTTGTTACATGTTAATAAAATCACTAAATCAGTATGCATTGTGTTCTTTTTCACAGAAATACTAAGGCAAAAAAAGCATGTTTCCCATTTCAGTCCATCCAAATGTAGGAAAGTAGGTTTTTGTTTGTTTTTTTCGTTAAAACACAGTGATTTGCAGTATATCAATAAAAACCTTCTTTCAAATGTAAACCCGATGAGGATTCTATGTTAGCATTGGTCTCTAGCAACCTATGCTTGTCGAGGAAAGGGGACAAAATGGATCAGTTGGTCTTTCTTGGTGACTTGGTCGATTTTGCATGTCATAGAACCCCGACGGTATTTATGATTGTTCAGAAAATCAACTGTATTGTATGGTCCAGATTTGATTTTTCACAGGCCACAGTCAGATTGCTGGAATATTACTGAGTGCAGCATTATAAAACAAATGAAGGTAATGAATGGTTTATATAAGTGCAACAAAGTTACATTAGGGCATAATGAAATGGACCATAACGGTATGGTGATAAGATGTGAGGTGAAATTGGGTTTAACGTCACGTCCAAGATCATTGCACTTATATAGCGACGTGCATGCACGTACATGTGTGTGTGTGTGGCTGCTTGTACTAGTCCGGACTGATGCCGATTTATAGTGCTAGCTCACTGAGATACCATGCCGCAGTTTAACATGAATCCCCTACTCAGACACAGTATACTGACTCCGAGCCGACCAGTCCTTGTTTTAGCCCCTTAATGCCGAGGGCCAGACAGGGTAACAACAAGTAATATCTTTTAACGTTCTTTTGGTATGACACGGCCGGGGATCGAACCCCGGACCTTCCGCTCTCCGGGCGGACGCTCTACCACTAGACCATGGAGGCGGTCGCAGCATTATAAAACAAATGACGGTAATGAATGGTTTATATAAGTGCAACAAAGTTACATTAGGGCATAAAGAAAATGACCATAACGGTATGGTGATAAGAAGCTGCTGCAAAACTAAAAAGGTGGTTTAGGTTCATGGGCCCCAGATGGGTTGGTTGGCAGAATCACATGAATATTTTTTTTGCCTCAGAAAAATGAAAGCATTTTCACTTTACAACAAAATATGTTTTATTCAAGAAATATATATAAGAACAGAACAGAATTGGCATTGGCAATATATTCTCAGAAGCTGTGCAAGGAGGATATACATGAATAGCAGAACCTCCACCATACAAGGTGAGGGGCAACATGAATAAAAGTTTACTCTCGATTCTAACTGATCATAAATATTAATATCTTCACAATAATAAATACTATTTAAAACAGAATTTGGAACACCTGTGAAAACAGGCATACAAAATATTGAAAGATCAAGACTAGATATTAAAACCAAACCTAGTTTAGCTTAAGGTTGGATGGGAAAAAGAAAATCATTTGGGTCCCTTGAAATATGTTTCCAAACTGCACAGTACTAATATTTATGCTTCTTTGTATCTATATTCTTTTCTGGGATGGGAAAAGAAAATCATTTGGGTCCCTTGAAATATGTTTCCAGACTGCGAAGCACTAATATTTAAGCTCCTTTGTATCTATATTCTTTTCTGCAGACATTCATATTGGGTTTTGTACATGTTCATAAACAATTACATTTTATGATACAGCAAAATATAATATGAAAGATCCATAATAAAGCGTTAGAAATTGGCACTAGTCCTGTAGTCCTTGCCAAACTGCCCAAAAGTTATGGTATCATAAGGACTAGTAGAAATTTTCCGTTTTTAATGGTTTTGCGATATGTTTTCATGATAAGGACTAGTTGACTAAAAATGTTACTTTCTACAGCTGTAATAAAATATGATTTGAAGAAAGGTCACTTGGTGAAAGAACAAGAACAAAACAATATGGTGCAAGCATAGATTGACATGATGAAGATTTAAACAGGGCAATGAGGTCGGAAACAAAAAAGCATTCTCATCAATATGATGGCATCTAGCATGCACTGCTGTGAGTCTCCAGACACAGGCAGCAGGTAACAGGTACATGTATATAGAACCAGGGGGAACACCAGGAACTCACTCCCACCTTGTCCACAGAAAGTCATGAGATTTTGGAGAAAACAACTTACTGTTACATTTTCACTTTGTCTTGGACTAGAGGACAAGTGACGGTGCCAAACCCTGTATGACACTATTATTATGTAACAATATACCCCTGTATAGCAATATTGTTGTCTCACACTAAACCCTGTATAACACTATTGTTGTCTCACACTAAGCCCTGTATAACACTATTGTTGTCTCACACTAAACCCTGTATAACACTATTGTTGTCTCACACTAAACCCTGTATAACACTATTGTTGTCTCACACTAAACCCTGTATAACACTATTGTTGTCTCACACTAAACCCTGTATAACACTATTGTTGTCTCACACTAAGCCCTGTATAACACTATTGTTGTCTCACACTAAACCCTGTATAACACTATTGTTGTCTCACACTAAACCCTGTATAACACTATTGTTGTCTCACACTAAACCCTGTATAACACTATTGTTGTCTCACACTAAACCCTGTATAACACTATTGTTGTCTCACACTAAACCCTGTATAACACTATTGTTGTCTCACACTAAACCCTGTATAACACTATTGTTGTCTCACACTAAACCCTGTATAACACTATTATTGTCTCACACTAAACCCTGTATAACACTATTGTTGTCTCACACTAAACCCTGTATAACACTATTGTTGTCTCACACTAAACCCTGTATAACACTATTATTGTCTCACACTAAACCCTGTATAACACTATTGTTGTCTCACACTAAACCCTGTATAACACTATTATTGTCTCACACTAAACCCTGTATAACACTATTGTTGTCTCACACTAAACATCATGGTACCTCACAATGGCAGTAGGTAATACTGTATGGTATCTCACACAAACAATACCAAACATTAATCTTACCTCACTGTTAGTACCTAAGACTTCAAGTTTCACACTTTATAGTACCCCACACTGACAATATCTAACACTAATGGTATCTTGCAATGACAATACCTAACACTAATGGTACCCCATTCTTACAATACCTAACACTAATGATACCCCATTCTTACAATACCTAACACTAATGGTTCCCAATGCTGACAATACCTAACACTAATGGTACCCCATTCTTACAATACCTAACACTAATGGTACCCCATTCTTCCAATACCTAACACTAATGGTACCTCATTCTTCAATTACCTACCAATAATGGTTCCCAATGCTGACAATACCTAACACTAATGGTATCTCACAATAACAATACCTCACACTTAATAGTACCCCACACTGACAAGGACCTCCTCTGTAGTCTAGTGGTAGAGCATCCGCCCGGAGAGCAGAAGGTCTGGGTTATGATCCCCGACCGCATCATACCAAAAGACTTTAAACGATGGAACTTGTTGTTACCCTGTCTGGCGCTCGTCATTATGGGGCTAAAATGGACCAGTCGCCTCAGAGTCAGTATACTGTGTCTGAGTAGGGTATTCATGTTAAACTGCTGTATGGTATCTCAGTGGGCTAGCACTATAAAATTAGTCCGGACTAATACAAGCAGCACAAACATACGCATATATAACTGCTATATAAGTGCAATAATCTTGGATGCGACACTTAACACCATTTCACCTCACTTCGCCACACTGACAACACCTCACACTTAATAGTACCTCACCTGACAATACCTCACAATGGTATCTCACACTGACAATACCTAACACAATGGTATCTCACACTGACAATACCTAACACAATGGTATCTCACACTGACAATACCTAACACAATGGTATCTCATACTGACAATACCTAACACAATGGTATCTCATACTGACAATACCTAACACAATGGTATCTCACACTGACAATACCTAACACAATGGTATCTCATACTGACAATACCTTACACAATGGTATCTCACACTGACAATACCTAACACAATGGTATCTCATACTGACAATACCTAACACAATGGTATCTCATACTGACAATACCTAACACAATGGTATCTCACACTGACAATACCTAACACAATGGTATCTCATACTGACAATACCTAACACAATGGTATCTCATACTGACAATACCTAACACAATGGTATCTCACACTGACAATAACTAACACAATGGTATCTCATACTGACAATACCTTACACAATGGTATCTCACACTGACAATACCTAACACAATGGTATCTCATACGGACAATACCTAACAATGGTATCTCATACTGACAATACCTAACACAATGGTATCTCACACTGACAATACCTAACACAATGGTATCTCATACGGACAATACCTAACACAATGGTATCTCATACGGACAATATCTCACACTTAATAGAACCTCACACTGAGAATACCTCACACTTATTTGTACCCCACACTGACAAAACCTGACACGTAATAGGACCCCACGCTTACAATGCCTAACACAATGGTACCCCATGCTAACAATACCTAACACTAATGGTATCTCATACTGACAATACCTTATACTTAATCGTACCCCACACTGACAATACCTCACACTTCATTGTACCCCACACTGAAAATAACTAACACTTAAAGGTACCTTACACTCACTGTACCTTGCACTAACGGTTCCGTTCACCTGCATAACCTGAACCTGCCACTGATGATGCCTCACACCACTGTACTAGAAGGTGTGACCTCGTACATCCTCCGAGTTTTCACCTGTTTCCGCAGCCACCACAGTGTCACGCAAATACAGATGAAAGCTGCCACAGCCAACACACCAACCACTGCCTGCACTGTTGGACTCATGCCAGTCTCGCCATCTCCAACCATACCGCCATGTGGCTTCTCAGACACCGCTGTATTGTCCACCAAGTCCACAGAGCTGCTGGGAGATATCTGGCCATGGCTTGATGTTGGCAAACCTTGTGTTGATGTGGATCTTAACCTGGATGTAGTGTCCTCTGTCTTGTCCACATCCCTAATGTTGCTGTCCTCCTGTGCAGAAGATGATGATCCCCGTCCTGTAAAGGCATCATCTCCTTCAGCTACAGAATCTTCAGGAGGTAGAAAATCAGTTGCCATTTCTTTACAGGTATCATCAGAGCATGAACGTCTCTCTTTATCAGGAGTCCCTGAATCTGTATAGGAATGTTCCTTGGACAGTGGCTGTGATTCACTGGTAAAGGATGTACAGGGTACATCAGTTGGTGATGGAACTCCTTGGATGGACGTAGTTACAACCGCAGACTCTGTTTCATTACTTTCAAACTCTCGAATCAGCGGAGGGGTTGGTGAGATGGGTAAGCTAAAATTTGCATCAGTTGATCCATGGAGATGAGGCGGATCAGATGTACCATCTGAGTACATCTGAGTCATTGAAGCAAGCGATGAAGTAGTAGCAGCATTTATCATCTGACTCCTGTCTGTTTGTTTTCTGGTTGACATTGATACTTCGGGATATTTCCATGAACGCGTTCCTATCCCTGTAACACCGACAGAACTTGGTGGTGCTTTCTCATCACTTTGTAGATCTAAGTAATACTGATTAGTGTCATATTCATAATAGTCATCAGATCCATAGTAATTGTTTCCATAGTAATGATAGTTTTCCTTGTAGTCCTTATCCTCAGGAGGCGGATCTGGATCCAGCATAGATGTAAATGTTATTTCTGGAATTTCAGGCCTTATTTCTGGTTTTGGTCTTGGGCCTTTACAATTTGCAGGTACAACCAACGACATAACATGTCTCCCGGAATAAGCTCTCGGAGCCATACACAGGCCATCGATGTACAAGTTTGGCATGAACAACCTCAAACTCAACAACCTACACCTACATTGTACAGGATTATTCATCACAGAAAGATACTCCAGGTAGGGCAAGTCAGTTGATAGACTTGGAGGAGCTGATGGAATCTTGTTGTCTTCAAGATACAGACGAAGCAGAAATCCTGCAGATTTCAACACAGATATTGGAAAACGTTGGAATGAGTTTGCTCCAAGGTGAAGGACTTGTAAGTTAGGTTGATGTTTAAACAGGTCAACTGGTAGATATGCAAGTTTGTTTTCCTGCAACTGTAGACTGTTTAAGAGCTTTAAGTCGGAAAAGGCATTACTTGATATCATAGCAATTTTATTATCACTGAGATCCAGGTATTGCAGTGCAAGCATGCTACTAAACAGCTGGTCACTGATGCCTTTCAGGATGTTCCCTTGCAGGTGAAGATTCTGAACTGATTTTCTCAAAGGATCGAATGTTTTCAGGTGAATATTACGTAGAGCGTTCATTGACAGGTCCAAAGTTTTCAAGTTCATGAGTCCATCCATTGAATGCTCTTCTATTTCACGAAGATTGCTCTGACTTAAATTCAGAGTTTTAAGGCTGTAGAGGTTTGAAAACCATCCAGTTGGGACCTGGTTAACATTACTTCGGGTCAAATCAAGAACTTCTAAATTAACCAAATCATCAAAGATACCAGGAGATGCAACTTCATTAACATCATGAATTTCAAGTCTATGTAGACTTTCCAAGTCTTTAAAAATTGTTCCAGGGACACTATTCATTGACATGAGAACTATCTCCTGTAGATTCCTTGGGTCACCATCATCAGACATTACACCAAAATTGTTGAAGATTCTTTCAGGCAAACTAACTAGCTTTGGCATATTCATGTACACCTTTCTGAGAACAGTTAATCCTCGGAGAAAGTTCTCGTAAACAAATGAAACTTCTGGACCATTGATGCTGATGACCTGAAGAGTCTTTTCACCAAATTCAAGAAGCCGCTGGGGGATCTTTTCAACTTTGTACATAGTCAAATGTAGTGTCTCAACTGGGAGACCTGTAAATATCATTTCGGGAATGGTTTCTCCTAAAAATGTAAACTCCAAGGTTTTCAGTTTTTGCAGATTCATGAAAACTCCAACATCAACTGACACAGCCTCTAAGCCATATATTGTTTGAAGGTTATCAAGTCCACTGAAGGATCCATTCGTCAAGTGAAAAATACTGCTTCCAGTCAGATCAAGCTTTATCAGGAGCGAACAATTTGAAAATAGGTACCAATCAATTGAGGTGAATGTATTTTGAGCAAGAGACAGGTATTGCAAAAATTTAAAATCACAGATTGGGTCAACTATTGCAATGTCAAAGTTGTTATTTGATAGGTCAAGGCAGTCTAAATCTCTAGGCAGATGCTTGGGGAGTTCTGTCAGTCCAAGGCCTGAACAGTTTACAAGCTTGATCAATCCATAGGAGTATTTGCTCTGTTGCACAGAGCACTGGCATGGAGAACAATATCCTTCAATTGGCCATTTCATTGCTTCCACTACTGACGCTGACGTCAAGATAGATATCAACAGAATCAGGACCCTCATGGCACTGGGACACAATGGCTAAATGTCATCTGAAAATGAAATTCCATTTTGGTGAATTCAGTGGTTGAAAAATTGAACAGATATATGGCATGTTTTCCTAGCATTGTCACAGTTTTGAAGTTAAGATAAATTGGAACAAGAAGCAGTGTTAGAAATTGGCACTAGTCCTGTTATCCTTGGCACAGTGCCCAATTGTTAGTGAGTTGGGTTTAACGCAGCTTTTAACAGTATTCCATTTATATCGCGGCATGTCAGCTTAATGTGGGAGGAAAGCCCGAAGAGATGCAGGTCTCAGACGTTTACCACTTCGGTGAAACCCACGAGCACAGGTATGGTGCTGACAAGCCTAGAAACATAATCGGGGCGAACCGGGTTTCGAACCCAAAATCACAGGTTTCTGGCGTGCCCAAGGGACGCAAATCTGCACAGCGAATCGCAGCGCCTTAGAAAACTGGGCCACCTAGTTAAGGTATCATAAGGACTGGTAGAAATTTGCCATTTTAAAGGGTTCTGTTATATGTTATCATTATAAGGACAAGTGGTCTAAAAATGTTAGTTTCTTCTGCTGAGAAACGTACGTTATTTGTTCCTCTGATAGATTTTTCAATCAACACGAGGATATTACCAAACTAGTTGATTGTAATATAAAATAGGACCAGAGTCAGTACCGATGTTTGGGTTGGAACATCTAACGACAAGAACAAAACCCGTTTACTGAAACGCGTACCCAAGTTATCATTTAGCCCTAATGCCATCTTCTTTTCAAACTAAATTGCGAAAGTACACATGAATCCAAACATTGAAAATATCAGAATTTAACAAAAACCTACTTAATAGCATCAAACCTGTTTATGAACTTCATTTCATAGGTCGATGTTAGTTCATTTGTATCAAATGTAATCAAACAACTTTGAAATTCCGTCTGCTAAAGACGTTTAGAGTAGCCTCCCTTTTTACAGGGGCGATAACTCTTTACCTGAAACAGTATTTGCGCTCTAAGAAATAAGATTCTCACGCATTTTGAATTGTTCATTTTAATACAATACGACATCAACACGAATTCGCTTTAACCCCAAACATATCTAACGTTTTATATGCAACAAATATTGGTCGCTAAATGTTAATGTCGGATAGTAAAATCGGAGGCATAGCTTGAAATGGAGATTCCAAATGATACGCTTACGATAGAAAGTATCTATATCATGAAATGTTAGTTGTTTTTAGAGTTATCTATGATGAAATTACACGATACAGTAATTAGAAGCTCATTATAGATTTACATGAATCGCATATTGCAATTGCAAGAAAATGTCTATGATTAAAGTACATACCAGAAGAAATAGATTCCCTCCTTGTGAAGAATGCGTAAATTTACAACTAGCTTTCCCTTCGTGCGGATATTAATTGCGCATTGTTTGTTTCAAACAGTTGAGTGGTTATCAAGGGACAATGCTCAGGTCGTACAGAATCCTGCGTTATGACAAGAGTGATGACAAACGAAACATACACGATGTCTAAGTGACGAGTGATCATTGCTGCTGTTGTGAATCATCCTTATTTTTGTTCTTTATCAAACTGTGCGTTATTGTTGGATAGTTTTGAGTCCAAATCACCGATCCTGTCGCATTGGTATTTGTCGACATTGAATAAATTACACATTTTAATAATAAAATGTGATCATAGACATTTCAAACCATTACAGCACGAAGTATCCATTTAGTTTTGTTTTTGTAAAATATTTTTTAGTTGCTGTCTGTTGCTCGTGGGTTGTTGTTTTTACAACTGTGAGTAGATGACACACGTTTCTTATTTTTTAATGTATTACAATATCTCTCGCTTATTTATTGGTCCATATTGCCAATACAGTTCCATGAACTAAAAAGTATGTATAAGAAGCCTTTCTGTCACAAACAAAAGTAATAATGTAGCTACAAGTGACCATTTCAAAAAATACAGTCTAATATGTCTTTTTCTCACAAACTCACCGCAAATAGATAAATTATTAAAAAACAATTACAAGTATGCTGCAGTATGACCAAAAACCCTGCAGTTTGTGTCACTAGATTCGGCCTTCAGACTAGCGGATAAGTCTCAGACTGCCCGTGCACTGCGTCTACAGCAAGATGAGAATGTTTAAGGCGTGTTCACTCTGGCTTGCGGTGTGCAGTCGGATGGGTACAGGCAAACCAGTGTTGTCCTCTGTGTGATTATTGCCCTGGGACATCCAGTAGGCCTTGCAGTAGTGTTGTTTAACTGTCAGAAAGACTAGTAAACTACCTGACAAAGGAAAGTATACACTTGAAAATTGGATTTAACCACAAAAAACTCCCTTGCCTCGGGAAGATGGAGACCCTTAGACCAGGTGTGATTCCACAATCTCATTAAAATCAGACCTTAGTTCTCGCTACCGCTAAACAAAGATCTGAAGACATCCCATTAGGGGTCACGTCAGAACGACCTTTCATCCGACCAATCAGAGCATCGCTTACCAGGTCATGAAAGTGACAGTCGGAATGGGATTTCTAATCATACAACCTCGAAAACTTTAACACGGGGTATTCCGAACGATAGTTACGGGTTTAACGACTAAATCCATACAATCTAGACCATCTATTAGCCATTCCAAAATGTTCTTTTGTTTAGGTTTCAAATTTGTAATCGAGAATTTGTCAAAATATGTTGCGAAGCGTAGACGCCAATTTGAAATTAGTGCCGTAAAGCACGAGAAAGCTGCCTTCTGATTGGTCATTCCATTGGTCAGTCAAAGTTCGCGCAAGGTCGGTCTGACGTGACCCGTAATGGGATGTCCTCAGATCTTTGTTTAGCGGCCACGAGAAGTAAGATCTGATTTTAATGAGATTGGTGATTCCATGGAATATCAAGATTTGCAAAGTGAACACTAAACAGCATGTCAAAGTGGAGACTTCGTCCCCGTGTTCAATGTGCGATGACTCCGTGGTTTAGTGGATAGAGCGTATGCCCGAAGAATGGAAGGTCGGGGGTTCGGTCCCCGGTCGTGTCATACCAAAATACGTTAAAATATAGTACTTATTGTTACCCTGCCTATCGCTTGGCATTAAGAACACACACACGCACCCACATATATTGTGCTCCTATATACAACTTCTAAACATACATAATTCGTTGCAGACAGGGATCGCCTCCGTGGTCCAGTGGTAGAGCGTCTGCCCGTGTCATACAAAAAGACGTTAAAGGATGGTACTTGTTGTTACCCTGCCTGGTGCTCGGCATTAAGGGTCTGAAACAAGGACTGATTGTCTCGGAGTCGGTATACTGTGTCTGAGTGGGGTAATTATATTAAACTGCGGGATGGTATCTCAGTGGGCAAGCACTATACAATTGGCATTAGTCGTACCCGGAGTAGTACCCGGACTAGCTAAACGTGTTGTCACAGACGTCATTGAACGCTATAAATATAGATCTATCGTCCATCAAATGAAACGTCGATTACGTCGACTTCCTAATCAAGCTATGACGTTGGCCGAGTTGCGACAGGTCTTGGTCCGCATCTCGAATGACATCCCAAAAGCCTGCTAAAGCCATCTTGTGTTGTCAGTGTGACGCCTTGGTCAAGTTTGGGTCATTGCTAATGGTGGTCTTACCCGATACAGACAATTTACCCCAAGCCACATCTGAGATGACATTAAGAGACACAATCCCAAGGCAAGGGAGATGAATGACTTTAAAAGTGCAGTTTCCACCTTGCTGAAGTAGGCTGGAATTTCTGCGCTCGATCTTAGCGATAGTCTTGCACCATGACTGTGGAATATATTTATTTTATGAAAACAAACAACAGTCTATAATGGTATACAAAAGCAAGTCTAGCCAGCTCTAGCTAGCTCTATTCCGCATTCAGTATAGGGGAAAAAATTATTTTTAGAGTTAAGAAGGGTTTTGTGTAATATAAGATTTCATAGACTAAATGTTAGTCTATCTTAGCGACACCAGTGGTTATGTTCCTTCTATGTCCTTCCTACTGACCAATCAGATTCCATCTCTCCTTGCTTCAAAACAAAATGGCGGCGCCCAGTCAAGACAATCTCATCAATAATTAAGATCTTTATTGTAATAAAACGGGTTTTACCTCGCGAAGTGCATCAACTCACTTGAGCACCTTTATTAAAAACACGAAAAGATTGGGAAAATATCAGTTGACGCCCAGTTGACGGTACACATGCTCTGCAAACCTTGCAATCGAACGAATTCGGCACGGCAGTTGCCATGTTATGCATGAACCGGATGTCGATTTCGTTACGGGAATTGACTGGACTATGCACGGACTCGTTAGTCCAGCCAAACAATAACTCCATAATTCCAGCGTTGTTCGGCAAGGTTGGAAACTGGATTTTAATGTCAGTTAACTCCCTTGCTTCTGGAAGATGTTTACAGAGGACATTTGTTGACACTGTCATGGTGAATTCATGTTTCATTGACATAAATATATTGTCTTTGTTTGCGTTTATTTATGACTTTCGATGATATCCAGTGATGTACAGGAACTATAAAACAATCTTCACAACAGTTACGTCTTCGTATTGTTCGAATCGGTCGTAATATGTCTCCCGCTTTGCCTCGCTGTCCATCTCGGCCGGGAGATTTTGTGACACATATGGCAACTTCTAAAGGTACACCTCGGGTTCCTAAACATTTCTATTTCAACTAACGCGATATATAATGTGAATGAAATCAAACTGAATTTCCTTTGACATCGTAGTTGTCTAGATTGACGTTAACGATGCCATATGCTTCATTCCCTTTGAGGGGTGGTCGGGTAGCCTAGTGGTTAAAGCGTTCGCTCGCCATGCCGAAGACCCGGGTTCGATTCCCGAAATGGGTACAATGTGTGATAGCCGTGATATTGCTGGAATATTGCTAAAAGCGGCGTAAAACCATACTCACTCACTCACTCACTCACTCACTCATTCCCTTTGAGATGGTTCTTGTAATCTCCTTAAAAAGGGTTGTATTCCTACCACTGTTTTAGTCGAATAATATTAGTTTGTTTTAATTTTCAGCTTAACTTGCTAACAATCGTTATCAGATATAAGGGTGGTTTTATTGTGGTACCACGCAGGTCCCAATAGCTCTCGTCAATATGGCGGTGTATTAACTTCGGTTACTGGCCATGTATAGCCCGTTTTTAGCTGTATCGTCAAATAATATTCTTATTCTTTTCCATGTTCTCTTACAATAGTTTAAAATACAGAAATATATGATGCTGACAAACCATAAATTTAATCTGAACTTACCGGGATTCGAACCCCTGATCATTCGTTTCTGGCGTGCCCAAGGGACGCAATTTTGTGACTACGAATTGTGGCACCTTAGTTGAGTAGGCCATCCGTGCCCCTTTTTGATTTGCATACCGGCACTAATATCAGCGTACGCCTTTTATACTATGCATATGCCTTTGTCTGAGTATTTTAAATTTGAGGAATATTTATTGAGAATTAAAAGTTCTCAGCGTAGAGTTGCCTTAACCTAATTTAGACTTTCTTCTCATGCGTTACTTATGGAAACAGGTAGACATAGTGTTACAAAACTATATTAGTTTATAGTAATATATTTTCCCATTGGGTTTCTTATAAATGGGAGAAAAAACTTCGCTATCAGCTTTATTATAACTATTTAAAAGGCCAGGAGCCAGCCTCTGGCTTGAGGCATTAGAGATTGTCTGTTTGTGTGTATATCGTCCCACGCCGTACAATTGTCAGTCGACCATGCAAGCCGAATTCTTTCAACCAAGTGCGGCCATTGTTTCCCGCCATTCCGTGTGCGTGTCACCAGGCGCGAGCGTTTTGTTTCCGTCTTGACTCCGCACGTGGAGGTCTTCTTGACAACATTGTTGCAATATCACGTTCGGTACGCCATTAACAGGATTTGCACGATCACGATGTGGGAAGTGAACCAGGGCATAGTGAGCAAGGAGCA